AACCAGTCAGTAAGGCACAGGCTTGACAAACAAAGCAAACAATGTGAAATGTTATGATTCTCCTGGAGTTGTTCGAGGTTGAAGGGTCGTAGTTTCAACCAGTCAGTAAGGCACAGGCTTGACAAACAAAGCAAATAATGAAAGAAGAGACATTCGAAGTGATACATCTCCGTGATCTTTTTCAGATACGCAACCATCCTGTACTATTTGAACAATGTACCAGAAGGAGGAGAGACAGCCTTTCCTATTGCTGATAACGTTACTTACGACGAGGAAGTAAGTTACCCCTCCCTCTCCTATTGGTCGTTTTCACCCATTCACATGAAATTCAAAAGATTAAAGACCGGCGGCCATGTTGGAGGAATGAATAGATACATGAGAAATCCTTTGTTAAAGTTCCTCCAAGTTGGCCGCWGTGACGTAACCTGAAAACGAAGAATACAAGCTAGTAGTTCACTCGATACTWTATTTCCAGGAATATCAGAAGAAAGGCCTTGATAACCTTAGTACGCGATGCCACGACTCAAATATCGTTGTTAAGCCTAAGAAGGGGACTGCTATACTTTGGTATAATCATCACCTTGACCCCAGCACTGGTGGAATGGGGACTATGGATAAGTATTCATTACATGGCGGTTGTGATGTGAAAAAAGGAATCAAATGGATTGCTAACAACTGGATTAATGCACTTCACATGCATTACAAATGATTTAAGAGAGAAAACCTTAGAACTTTATAAACTTCACATGCATTACAAATGATTTAAGAGAAAACCTTAGAACTTTATAAACTTCACATGCATTAAAAATGATTTAAGAGAGAAAACCTTAGAACTTTATAAACTTCACATGCATTACAAATGATTTTAGAGAGAAAACCTTAGAACTTTATAAATTTTCACAGACGTTATATAAATCCAATATTTCACTACATCATCACGAAATATACAAGATATATCTTTCGTAATAAATAAAAGTCACATGACCTCCGACTTAAATTTTGTTATATTCCTAGCTTCACATCAAACAGTGAAATGTTTAAAGGGTAAGGTAGCTTGATTTGCCTGGGAAAGGTAACATGCTTGACTGCACTATACAACCAAGACCTTTAAGTTAGACCAGAGAAAGAAGACAGAATTATTCATGCTAATCATTTTTATTACAAATACCTAACTTAATACATAATCATATCAACTGTTGAAATTGCTTCAAGGAGGAAATTTATAGCTGTATATTGTCAGCATGCTATATCAAAACAGATAAGTTATATTTACATGATTACTTCAACATTATTAAACGGTCGATGGCTGTAATGCTCTTGCTGCTGATATGGCATTTGGGAACATTGTGTGATAGTTTGACAGTGGAATTGGTGCTGAAAGGATCTGTTTTCCTGTGGAAATAACGAGAATACATTAGTATAAATAACACTTGTGAAAGAATAGACGAAACAGAAGGCATACCTGCAAACCATCTCCCGTGAAGAGCTTTGGACGCTTTTACAGCAACATCAGGGGTGTAACATTTCACATATACCATACCCTGAAATAAACACAAACAAATGAGCAAAAAACAGAAACAAAACTAAGTTAAAATACAACACAGACAATATTCACATATAAATGTACACTAAGATTTAAAACCAACTGAATTACCTGAGGTGAGCTCTTGTCCACATGAATATGGACAATAGGCCCAAACTTTGAACATTCCTCTAGGACATCATCACGGATATCTAACTCCCAGCCATCTTCCTTTTCCCTGTAGCAAGACATAGGAACACTATCAACAAATAATTCTGCTACTAATAATGAGTTCTTAATCCAGGAGTGAGTTATATAAGAAGTCAAACACTGTGCTATTAGTCTATAGCTAGTTTCACACAACATGCAATTTCAATACTTACTTTGTAGGGTCAAACATGTTGGTCAGCATAAAGCAAGGTGTAGGCAGTGATACTGATGAAGGAGTTGGTACAGATGGTTGGCCACCAGATGYAGGTGCTGGGGCACCAGGTACTACAAGACCTGGACWCARASAAACAATCSATGGATTAATCTTTTTGCATTTTTATTATATTTTGTATATGAATGTAAGTTGATCTAGTGTTTAAGTAGTAGAATAAGTGAAACTATCAATGGATAACAGCAAGCTGGTTCTGTGTAGTAAGCTGTGTATATCTTACCTGCAGAATGTCCTTGTGATAATTTAGCCATCAATGCTGCCCTTGCTGTAGAATTCAATTCTACTCCCCCTTTCTCATACTCTTCATCATCTAGGAATGAATATGCTGATGAATCACCTCTCTCAGTCACAGGACCAACCTTCAGAGGTCTTCCTGCAAGTTCAAAGCCATTCATCTGTTCCATAGCACGTTTAGCAGCCTCAGCATCACGGAACTGCACAAATCCATATCCCTTAGACCGGTTAGTCTCAGAGTCATATATAAGTTGAACACTATCAACAATCCCAAAAGGTTCAAACACAGCTTTTATCATAGCTTCTGTGATGTTGAAGTGAAGTGAACCAACATAAAGTCTTGTTGGTCCAAGAGGCTGTTTGAGTCTTTCTGCCTCGGCTGCTAAGCGATTTTTCTCTGATTGTGTTGGCATTACCATGATGGGTGCACCAAGAAGCTTGTTTCCTGATAAATTGATAGCCTGAAAGACAAATGAATAGAATTAAAACATTATAGGAATACAGTAAAATTMATAGACTTTTAACCCTTTTAAGTCAATCCTTGTTAATGCATTGTGGGGTTAGTTTCTAGAGAAAACAAAAGAAATCCACCATGTTCTGCTGCAAACATATCCTACAATTCATTGCGTATACAGACATGATGTAAAAGCTTCAGAGGTCTATAAACTTACCAGGGGAACGGCTGATTTATCTGTGAATTCAATGTATGCAATTCCTTTYGACCTTCTGGAGTTCCTGTCAGAGATKATACGCACATCTGAAACCTACAACGATTATCAAATGGCAAATGGTTAAAATAAAATAAAAAAACCTAAAACACCAACCATTATTATGTCTTACCTGTCCAACTTTTGAGAAGAACTCTTCTAAGTCTCTAGGTCGTATGTTTCTAGCCAGTTGCATGCAAAAAACAGTTCTTTGATCTCTTTCCAAGGCAGATTCTTCTGATTCTGGTTCAGGGATCTTCTCTGGACTGGGTGGGAAGCCATATGGTCTTKGAACAGGGCTTGGAGTTTTCCTTCTTACAGGGCTTTTGCTCTTACTCTTACTAGGGCTTCTACGTCGCCTTCTTGGTGGGGAACGACTTCTACTTTTACTATAACTGTGGCGCTTCCGCCTGCTGGAAAAATAATTATATATAAATGATAAGGTAAACTGAATTGTTATTGTCATTATGGTAAKTATTTTTATCATTGAAAGACAGCAATTTTTTTTTGTGGACATACCTATCTCTTCTACGATATCTTGGACTTCTGGACCTGCTCTTTCTTTTAGGACTGTATGACCTACTTCTTGACTTTCTCTTTGGACTACGAGATCTACTTCTCCTCTTTGGACTACGAGACTTACTCCTCCTTTTGGGGCTGCGTGACCTACTCCGCCTCCTTCGTCTCCTGTTGACAATAAGAAACAACTGCGTTAATATCTCTTCATGTACTATTTGTACACTGCCTAAGTCTTTTTATTAGTCGAACTGGCACTGCTTATCACCACTTGTAGCATCAGGGAGACCTAGAAAAAAAGATCCTCAATGCTGGCAGCTTTGTCCTTGTGTAGCTTACAATACCTTATATGTTTGTAGTTCAGTTCAGTTCCACATAACTGTTTAAAATGAGAGAAAAGATATTATAATAGACTGATGGTACTGTAACCTATTCCGTTAAAAAAGCCTAAATCTATATGTGAAACTTTACAGTGAACGTCATGCAGTCTAAGTAACACTTAAGAAAGATATTAATCTCAGTCTACAACTTCTCTTGAAAGTGCTACAGCAATATTTTATATTAGGTAATTTGCAAGCTCCTTTGATACTTTATACTGCTTATAATATTATTTAACACATTAGTAAACTAATTTTCTTCAAAATGAAGTTATTGCACCAATATTAGACTTTYGTTTTTATTGGAAATGGTAAAAATTAAATAAGGCTGTTTTTTATGCAAGCATGGTAATGAGAGCTTATGCTCCAATGTTGCTGCTTCATGATCACTTTAACCTGAACATTGAAAACATGTGAATGTCTTTGATATCCACAGTCATCCTGGGTTACTTGAACTACCTAAATTTTTTAAAGTGTACCTAGAAGACAAGAAATAGTGGCTCAGCACAGTAGATATTRATCTTGGCTGCTGCACGGCTTCATTGGACAGTCTTACCACACCTGTATCCCCCCTGAAAATAATAAAACTACACTTCTTACCCTTTCTTTCTTTCATACTGGTCTTCTTCTTCACTGGAACTTGAATGCCTCTTCTCGTTTTTGGTTTTCTGTGGTGTGGTCTGTAGAGCATAAAACATTACAGTATAAGTCATTCAGGTCAAAATTTGTTCAACTTTACATAGATCTTTTTGTTAGCCTGAAACCATATCTGGTAAATATTCCAGTTTGAATGGTAATTTGACAACTAAGGTTTCTATGTTTATCTTCCACTGACATAAATTTTTAAATCATAATAGTATTCAAGCACATGTCTTATATTTCACTTCAGTTGGAACACCAAGACAGCTTGATCTAGTCTAGGATACGGAAGGCATGGTTTTACCCACCTGACAGTTACATCAATAACACAGTAAGGAATCTAGTCCAACCAAGAAAAATACAGGTTTTCAAATTACATGAAACAAGGGTTGCTTATAACTTTTTACAAAAATATATATACCCACAATTGTAAGTCTATTTACTGGAAAAGTTACAATTACACAAGTAAGTACAATRGCAACTATTTAATGAAAAATCGTATACAATAATGGAAGCAGCACTTTGGGTCCTAACAAAAGATAATTTGTTGAAGATTAAATTTTAGAATACCCACTAACTTATTAAACATCATTTAAGACTATTCAATTTTGTTTTGTTACCAAGACAACTGGAATACCAGTTTCTATTACACTAGAATGTGATGGGGTATTCCAGAGTCCCTCCATTAGTATKGACTTAGTTTATGAACATAAGATGCATCACAAAGTTGTCTCACCTCCTTCTTGTASGGAGCCTCCAACATGGCCTCGATATCAAAGTCTTCCGTCATCCTAAAATAATRCACAAGTTTGCATGATCCCAATGTCGTACATAGCTGCTGATTTATTCTCACAATTATATTTTTGAGTAGAAGGTGCTGCTCTTGCAGAAAAAGTGGCTGTCTTCACAGAAACAGTTGTGTAAAAAGATAAATTTAACACCGTAAAAAAGTAGGTCACAGAATACACTTCCACTGATTTATAATATTTCATCATTCTTAAAGGGCTATGTGCCTTCATTTGTGATACAAACATCAACAAATATGAAAAAAGATAATACGTGAAGTAATGATTTACAAGAGATGGTTGATTTGATAAACTATGAAAATTGTGAATTATGTACTTAAGCTTAATGAGCTTTGCATGCATAATATCACATCATTTCATACAATATACAGCAGTAATAATAACATTCTTTCATTGGAATATTGATTTTTAAGGTAAAAGAGAAGCTAAAGACCAATCTATCTAAAATAAGGCATACGTTATACCATACAAACGACGATAATTCGTTCAYTTACTTTAGAATGAACGATAAAGGCTGAGAGCACATGGCACCAATTCAATGAAAGTAAAAAGAGATCAAATACTTTTCCTCTCTCACTTAAAAAGAAAAGTTCACTTACCTCAAAGTTAATACACCTTTCCGCGCAGTAATAAAGTTTATCTATGAAGTTCAACGCACAAATTGAGCAACAATTCAGGCAATTTTTAGAGAACTCTTTTCCTTCGTTTTCAAAATGGCGTCTCTTCTTTACTTTGATGTGCGGGATGGACCAATATTAATTTGAGGGTTTTATCTAAATATGGATATAGTTACCTTATTTAGTAYCAAAACCACAGGATGCCCACAACCTAAATGGTATCATTTCTCTTAGGGACTGGGTTCTACTGTATTTATTTATATCTTTGAGTCAGTTGCATTGCGAAGTGGAAGAATATTTCCTCTTTTAGCGAAGTTTGCGTCTTTTRAAAGCTTTTAAATATGCCTATTGAAGGTGAGAAAGATAAATTCATGCTTTAACCATATCTTAATMACGTCTTTAACGATATATGTTTCTTATTAATTCTTGCAGATACATTATTTCAGCTGAAGGTTAGTTCACTTGCCTGAAGTTTCGCGAAATTTCATTCTAAAAAATTGTCTCTCCTTATTTTAGTTTACAACAAAACAGCTGGAAAGATATGCTAAAAAGTGTGAAAAAGATCAGAAAGTCCAAGAATCTAAAATAAAAAAGGTAAGTTCATGTTACAAAAAATATCAAGAATTTCGTCTTTTTTGTTATATGAAGCTGACGAAATCCCATTTTCTCAGGCTATAAGCCAAAAGAATGTCGAAGGTGCAAGAATTTATGCTGAAAATGCTATCAGAAAGAAGAATGAAGGATTAAACTTTCTAAGACTTGCATCAAGAGTGGATGCTGTGGCATCTAAAGTCCAGACAGCAATGATGATGAAACAGGTGGGTATCAATTAGCACAACACAAATCTTAGTGGTTGCATGTGTAAATGGTTAACAGAATTGTTAGGGAAACCTGTACATGTATGCTGGCAGAAAAACCTGCAATGGACTAGTCWTATTCACTTTGTATTGCTAGAAGTCGTGAAAAAGACTCGGTGTTGCATGCACATGATATACTGCAAAGTCTCCTGTCTTATCATGTGTGGTATTCTCTATTCAAAAAGGTTAAGTTACATTGTAAAATAATTTCTAGCAGTCAACAAAACGGGCTCTTCAAAAATCTTTCTTGAGACGTTTTGCACCCAAGATCATTTTACACCTTGACACATAAAAGCCATATTCTTTGGCTTCACTCTGAACACAAACAGAAAGATCCATAAAATGTTTATTTAGAGATCAAGATTATCTTTTAAGTCAAGGATTTATTTGAATTTTCTTGCATTCTGRTTAATTCCAGCATAAGTTTTCTATGTTYTGCTATCAATTGATGCCAATGATGGCTTTGTTTTAGGTCAGCAAAAACATGGAGGGTGTCACCAAAGGACTTGACAAAGCAATGAAATCCATGGATCTAGAGAAGGTTTGATATTTATACTTTTCTTAGCAAACATTTATCTACCATTCAAAGTAGATTAGTTTAGTAAAGMAAGTCCAGTTATGCACAGGTCAACTACCTAGTCATGTAACTAGAAGTCACTGGCCACTAACTTTAACAACAAAAAATAAGGTTATTACTTCCTAATAAAGGAAAGTTTTAATATAACAAAGTCCTGGAAGAGATAAAAGACTGCACTTTGCTTGTTGTAGATCTCTACAACAATGGAAAAGTTTGAAGGTCTGTTTGAGGACCTGGATGTTAACACTCAGGTGAGCATGACATGGTTTTGCAGTCATTTTAGTGCATAGTTTGAATAATGTATTCCTGTATTAAAGGTGATGGAAAATGCAATGGGAGAAGCAACAACGCTTACAACTCCACAAGATCAAGTAAGAAAATGTGATTCAATATGTCCTTGTCAACCTTGAAATATAGACTTTGCATCCTGAAGAAAACCATGAACTTGTATAGATACTTGTACTTGTTTTTATAAGTTGGGAATTGCAATTACCTGACAAATTGTTGTTTAAATGTTAATGATCCTATTTGTAACTTAGTATACAAAATGTGGTGGTTGATCATTACAGACGACAGTCCGATATAGTTGCAGTAACAGCAAACAATAATCATTACAAAAGTATAATATTTAATAATTATCCTTCTTGTCACTATTATCATCTATTCATTACCATCATATCATTTCCACTTGAACTACATTTAGGACATTCATTGTACAATATTTCAAGTTTGTATCAGTGTTGTTCTGTTTGACTACTTTAGGTTGAGGCTCTTATCAACCAAGTTGCTGAAGAAAATGGTTTAGAAATAATGAGTGAATTAGAGAGAGTACAACCAGGAACATCGTCACTAAAACACAGTGAAACTGAACGGTCTGCAAAGGATGAAGATCAACTTTCACAGAGGTATAGTAGAGGAAACGCAGGAAAACCATGAAATAAAATCAAACTAAATACTAACTAATAGCTGCTATTTAGAGACAGTTTGTCAGCATCAATGAACCAGAACACTATGAAGAGGAATCCACATGGAACCATTTTTCATTCATCTTTATTGTATTCTGGTTCACTGATACTGACAGTTTGTCTCTAAATAGCCGCTATTTCAATGTCAGTATTTAGTTTGATTTTATTTCATGGTTTTTCTGCGTTTGCTCTATGATTTAATACTGGTATTAATTCWGATAATGATAAATTGCTTTTCATTTTATCTGTATTTTGATAT